TTATTTAAAATAAAAAGCCATACACTTTTTGTGTGAATTTATTATATTCTTTCCTGGAGTTTGATTTGTCTTGTAATTGATGATTCATGAACTATTTACTTCATGATTCATTTTTTTCATTGACACCCCTACAGGGTGTTTGTTATCTTGTTTTTTGCCAAGTTAGGAAATGCTTTTATCGTCTAGTATCTTCCTTTAACGTTTTACCAAGGACTTCAAGTTTGTATATGCAGGCTGGAATGGGCGGTGGAACTGGGACTGGTGGGGCTCCTGTAATTGCAGGGGTTGCAAAATCAATGGGTATTTTAACTGTTGGTATTGTCACTACCCCTTTTTCTTTTGAGGGAAGGAGGAGAGCTGTTCAAGCACAGGAAGGAATTGCAGCTCTAAGAGAAAATGTCGACACACTAATTGTTATTCCAAATGACAAGTTGTTGACTGCAGTTTCCCCGTCTACTCCAGTAACAGAAGCATTTAATCTGGCTGATGATATTCTTCGACAAGGAGTTCGGGGTATCTCCGATATAATTACGGTATAGAATTCTTCAGGAAACTATCAGTACCCTTCTAACCTAACTATCCATGTTGAGTTGAAATCAAAATATTTAGGCAAAAGAAACATAACTGCAATGTTGTTTTTCGTTCTTTCTCCTTGCATAGTCCTTGAAAATTGATACTGCCTTTCCAATTTTATTGATGGTCTTATGGGAATTTTTTTTTGTGATAAATTACAAGCAAATAGGAACCTTTTTGCACCTTAAAATTTGCCTAGTTTATTAGATGGCAAGGATGAAGTAATAGTTTGGTGATGCCTTTCCATCTCTTTTCCCCCTTTTCAATATGAAGTTTCTAATTCATAGGCTTTGGGTGGTTAAAGCTGGTGTAGTCCTTTTATATCATTTATCCATATAATACTTGAGGGTTGAGGGGTACACTTTTTGTTACATATCTTGAGCCTTTTCTCTGGTAAATAACTTCTATGATTTATTATCATGGTTGTTGCGCTAAAGATACCTATATTTTCCATTGTTCATATGTAATCAGATGAAAGTTGTAGTGTCTGTATGTTAGATGGTCTAGTAACTTTGGTCATTTTTACCGCTAATTATGATCCCAGGGTTCTGAAATGGAACCTTCAAGCCTGTAAAAATCAGTATATTTGCACGACTACCAGTCATTATGTGTAATGTTTGGGATGCACAAACGTGGAAGTGTTATGAGCTTTGGACCATACCTTTGGACTCTAATTGGTTGAGTTTCCTGATTGTAGATTCCAGGGCTAGTCAATGTGGATTTCGCTGATGTGCGGACTATAATGGCAAATGCGGGTTCTTCACTGATGGGGATAGGAACTGCAACCGGTAATTCAAAAATATGCTTAGCACTTTTTCTTCGAGATTTGAGGTTGTTTGTCATATCACATATGCTCCTAAACTTTTCTGAGCAAAAGAATATGAGGAAGAATCAGGGAGAAGAGAATGTGTAAAGAGAGAAAAATTATAGGTTTCTTAGGAAAGAACTTGGCAGTCATCGTGTTACGTGTTCCTCACCTGTGTTTTGAAAATGCTAAAGATGGTGCATATTGGACTGCAGAGAATGAACCACAGCTTTGACTTTGAATGCATGAAGTTCTTACATTTTTATATGTTTTGCCCCCTGACAAAATTAGAAGTGATGGTAGCTCTGCCCGTTCTCTTCCTTCCTTTTACTGGCAGTACCGATTGATTTTTGTTGTGAAAGAAATTAATTTTCACACGACGATGGACTTTGATCTCTTCTCTTCATGATGCTTTAGTTTATTATTCCCTTTCCATTGACATGTCAATTTTTCTTCTTTGTAGGAAAAACAAGGGCAAGAGACGCTGCACTCAATGCTATCCAATCACCTTTGTTGGATATTGGTATAGAAAGGGCAACTGGAATTGTCTGGAACATAACTGGTGGAAGTGATTTAACCTTGTTTGAGGTAACCCCCTGTTTCTAACTTCCTAGGTGTGTGTGTGTGTGATGCGGCTGAAGCGGTGAGTTGCTAACTGGACATTAACTCTGGTACCAATCTATTTCACTTTTCTTTTTCATTTCTAGTGCCCAAAAATTGTTTGTCTTATATATGTGAGAGGAGCCCTTGCGGGAAAGAGAGGAGTTATTGAAGCCTGAGCACATCATATGTGATAATGGCATACTCCTTTTATTTCATGTTTTCTTTTTCCTCTTCTCATATGCATTCATTTGACATGTGATAAATTTCTGTAGGTTAATGCTGCAGCTGAGGTAATATATGATCTTGTGGATCCAACTGCCAATTTAATATTTGGAGCCGTGATTGATCCATCGATTAGTGGTCAAGTAAGTTAATACTTGTTTAAACTTGCTCATTCCGAAGTCTAGTCTCAGAAAGAGTCATCAGCGTATCTATACCACAATCACCGTGCTTTGAATACGCCTACCATCAAATTGTAGTTCTAATCAAACATATGTAACAACAGTAGGTCAATAAATAAATAAATAAAAATCAGAAAGCTAGGCTTCAATCTCGGAAAGAAATGCCCTCATGAATGAACTTTAACGTCTGGGCCACATGTTGGCCCGATAAGAGTGCCTTGCCTTGAGTTTTTACCCCTTAGAGGTCATAATCTTCATTAGGATAAATCAATAAGGCATGTTTGCACAAACCAACAAGACCACTTTTTGCAACATTCATGATCCTGAACAAGAATCATTAATTTGATGGCAAACATCATTTTGGGTCTTTATTTAGGTAAGTATAACACTGATTGCCACCGGATTTAAACGTCAAGAAGAAAGTGAAGGGAGGCCGCTTCAGGTACCACTCTCTTTATCATTTCTCTCTTTCTCCCTCTAGTAAACCAATCTATACTGGATTCCAATTAATTGCAGGCGAGTCAGGTAGCACAGGGAGATGCCAGTGTTGGATTAATCGATGGCCTTCTTTCAATGAAGGCGGTTCAGTGGACATCCCAGAGTTCCTGAAGAAGAAAGGACGTTCACGCTATCCAAGAGCTTGATTTGTTTTCTGCAGTCTCTCAATCTCTCAACTCTCAAACCAATATAGTTATGCCTCAGTCTTAGATTTCTGCCCTCATTAGGTTAGAGTAGAGCTTTTGTTAGAGTGACATGTTTCAATAAAAGTCAAGTGATTGTACAGAGTGCATTTGTAGAGAAAGCAAAGGAGATTATTAGTATTATTATTGTTATTCAGTGTTTTATTAATGGTGGCCACATTGTCATCATCCATCTCAACTAATAATTGCCAAGCATATGATTAAGCGGTAAAAGTAGATTTCAAGTTCTAAAGATTATTTTGTTCTTTTTAGGGTGTAAATGAACAGAATGTTCGATGAATTGTTCGTTAACCGTTCGTATAATGTTTATTTATGTTCATTTATTAAGTTAAATAAAAGAATATGAACAAAATCTTTATGTTCATTTAATAAACAAACGAACATGAACAGAGATATGTTATAAGCTAGTTTGTTTTTTCTATTATGAATTGGATATATGATGAAATTTAGAGTATAAACTATGAATCCTAAGAAGTTTAAGCACTAATTGTGTAGTTTTCCATTTTTCCTATTATAACAAAAAAAACCTTTTGTCATAATTCACATTTTCCTTTTATTCTAAACGAACATGTTCGCGAACAATAAACAAATAATAAATGAACATGTTCACGAATATTAAACGAACATTTAAACAAATATGTTCACGAACATTAGAAAAATACATTCTCGAACGTTAAATAAACGAACATGAACACTTTTAAAAATAAATAAACGATCACGATAAAAAAAATTAAAAGAACACGAACAGAACATGAACAACTTCAAAAACAAACAAACAAACACAGACACAATCTTATTTGTTCAAGCTCGGTTCATTTACACCCCTAGTTCTTTTCTATTTATATACACGGGTAAAGAAGTATAGGGGTTATTTAAGCATTGATTATTAATAGAAAAAAAAACTTGAAATCGAGACTCTAATAATTGGGCACAAGCTTAATTTAGTTAACTCATTCCACGACCATTAAAAGGGTAAGGTTTATAAATTTGAAATTCGAATCTCAGTATTTACAATCTGTTCCCATTTTATAACATAAATAAAAATTCATGTTTCAGATCAGTAAACAATAAGGAATTTGACGAGAACATGGCTAAATCCATTTAGGAATTACAGTATAATCCTGCAACCGGTTTTCGCAATTACACCGCAGTTCTGCTTGTCCATTATTGTTTCCTTGATAAATAGTAATATTATTTCTTCTCAAAACCACAATCATACAAATTCCCCAAACCATACATATCTAAACTCCCCCATAGGTATGAGAAAATAAACAAAGAAATTTTGATCAGGACAAAGTTGCCAGCTCCCATAACTTTATTGTCCCATCATCACCGGCAGAAGCAAGAAGGCGTCTTTCCTGTTATTTTCAACGAAATGAGACTAGACAAATCCATTTTACGATACCCTCACAAGGTTAGCATAAGCTTTCCGCCAACTAATTGCGCATTTATTTCCAATATCATTCTTTTAATAAGCCTCAAATGCCACAGTTTCCAGATGATCAACAAAGAGAGATGCTGTAACTAAAGAGAAAAGTGAAATTATAAGCGAATCTTTGCTCTGTACAAACAATCGTATAGCATCAGCAGCAGCTCCACTGGCAACAATTCCCTCTCTGTGATAGTAAGCCATATGCAATCAGTTTCAGCTTAAAACTTAAACAAAAAGAAAATTATTCAGATGATAGATAAAGATTAAAATTAGAAACTAAACAAAAGATACGGTAAATAGTATTCATTTTTTAACCTTCAAAGTGCTATTTAATCAAGTTTTCATTCATCAATTAAAATCAAATGCTCCCTAAAAAATTATCATTTTGCATTGAATTGGTCTCTTCACCTGCAATCGCAAAGATTGAATAAAAAAATGGGTTATTATCCTTTGCGTTCACGAAATAAACATAAATGTAGTCCGAATAACAAAATGGTGTCAATATCTTGACCAGTGAACTGGAAAGATCGTTCGATCATGATAACCAGAAAGAGTGCAAAGATGATTCCTGGACAACCATTAAAGTGAAGGATATCACAATGGGTTACGAAGTCTTAAACGAGAATAAAAGAAAAGAAATGCTATATATCAAGAACGATAAATTAGTATTTACGTTTTATCCCTTCAAGATACATTCACTTGCAATACTTAATAATTCCGTTTACTGTTCCCTAGGAAAGCTACAACTACCAGCTAAGACTATATGCTTCAAAGTTTCAAACAGCAAGAATGAGTTCCTTGGCATCAAAATGTGAGCATTAGTAGCTTCCAAATGAAGATTATAGGCCATGAATTTATCACTGAGAGTGATTCTTCTTTGTGCAAGCAAACTATTGCAGAGAGACCAAGAAAGCTCTACAACAATGAAAAATAATACAAAGAAATCAACAAACATCCAAGTCCTGATAGCTGCAAACCGGCCTAGGCTATGGGTGTGATATGATGACAACCAAGAGTTAGCAAAGATGAAAAGTTCGAAAGGAATAATTCAAAAAAAATGTCAAGTTCCTCACCAGGGTGCATAACCTTCTCTAGACTGCATCCTTGTGATGTCTGTTTCCCATATCTTCAGGGTAAGATCATCACTGCAAAATCAGTTTAAATTGTTTTAACACTTCATACAACTTCACCCTTTTTTTTTTTTTTGCTGATGCCATCGGAATATACTAGAATGCCAATTGCTGCAGGTTAGAAAGAGAAAGATTTTATACATACCTACAAGTTACCAATTTGTCTCCCTTAGCATTAAAATCAAGTGACCAAACGGTGGAAGAGTGGCCACCGACCATAAGATAATGAAACAAAAAGTTTTTAATAGTCCAAAAATTTCATAAACCAGTGGAAAAGAACTCTTCAAGGTATAATAAAATTTAAAAGATATCACTACAATACTTGATATGTAGATACTAAACTACATGTCAGACATTACAATAAACAAGAAAATGAGTTGAAACAGAACAGATGGAAAGAGTTCTAGGCATCATACTAGCTAGATTCACTAAAGTCTGTACACAGCTCCAATCACCATCATCATCCTCTGACCACCAAAACTATAAGGTAAAGTGAATATGTTACAGTTTGATCACATTTCTCAATCTTGTTGGCATATAATGAAATTTACAAAACATCAAAGATTGCCCATGGTCTTGATAAAGAGAGAGACCAATACAGCACCTTGACAGTGTTATCATAGCTACAGGAAAACAAAATATCCATGGTTGGATGCCAGCGAATCATTTTCACATCTTGAGTATGACCTTGCAAAAATTGAACACACTCAAATTCGTTCCCTGGCATGACTTCCCAAATCCAAACAGTTTTATCTCGCCCACATGTCGCAAGAAGAGAACCCGATGCATTCCATGATACACTTCTCACTTCATTTTCATGACCCTATACACGACAGTAAAAAATAAATGCTCCACTGTAAAAAATAAAACTTGTAGCTGAATGCAAGAAGCAAGATATCGTAGTCTTTGTAGATGTCCAATCCCTTTCTACATGGTAAACAAAATTTCTTTTAGCCACAGTTAGTATAATTATTTTTTGCTTGGTCAATTGCTTTAAATAGTGTGCATATGACACCAAAACTAACTGGAATCTCGAGAGAAATTAAAACAAAAACAAAAACAAAAACAAACGGAAGTGGATAATAAGTAAGAATGAGAATAAGATTAGCACCTCTAAAGTGGAAACACATTCAAAGTCACCCCCAATATTTTCCCATATGGCAGTGGTAGCATCAAAGCTAGCAGTGGTCAACAATTTCCCTGAGGGTGACCAAGCACATGATCGTACCGTTCTAGTATGTGTTTCTTCTAGTATGATAAATTTAATTATAAATGCAGGATGTTTTAATTATTTCATTGTTTAATAATTAACGTGTTAATTATCTTAGATCCTACATAAAATTAAATTTAATTCAAAATAACATCGTTTTAATTCTCTATAAAAACTTTTTTTTTTTGCTTCCTCTCTTTTTCTCTTACTCGACCTAAACCAACCCATAATCTAATCACTTGTTAGTCACTATTTTGACCACCACTAACTATCTTCGTCGGAGGCTAATGAGTCTCAAAATATCCACCAAACCTATTTGACCTTTCTGAACTCAAATCCTTTATCCATTTAATCAGAAAACACCTCCTTTACTGATTTTTACCCACGCTTCCGTCGGTTGTACCATCATCAGCCGGTTCATTTACAACTAATGAAGCAAGTTGAGATCCATGACCATATCATTATGATTTTATGTATTGTTTAAAAAGGTGACTTGCATTAGCGGCTAAAGGTGTATCCAGGGATTTAAATAGCGTTCACGATCGCGTTTTCGGTTGTATCGCGTTTATCGCAGTTGCGGACATAACGGATGTCATCGCGGTCATTGCGGGTGTCGCGGTTGTGAATTTTCTTAAAATTCGCACAACTTATCCTAAACAATAATAATTATAATTATAATTTTAAAGAGTCATTTTTAACGATTTTTAGAATATTTTCTAAATAAAATTAACATACATATAATATAGTTTAATCAAATATTAAACTCAGTGATAGAATGAGATAATTAAATAATAATAACATTATGAATACATTATTATTTAAAAGAAATAAGATTATCAACATAGGAAAAACTCTAAAAAAATAAAATAGATAAAAATAAATTACTTGTTATTATTCACTTACCAAAATCAACATATTATAACTTAAAACTTATACAATTAAAAATAACCCATTATTTAATAAAAAAAACCTATAACATAAATAAAAAAATATCAAATTGCAAAAATAATTAAATTATTAGGTATGTTTTTGTCCAAACCCAAAACATTAAAAAGTAAACAATTAATTAACTTATTATTGGGTTTGTTTTGGTCCATATCTAAAACGTTAAAAGTAAAAAATAATTATTTAAAACATCTTAAAAAATTATTATATCCCTTCTTCTTCTTCAGTATCACGCATGAGAGAGAGGGGAGACAGAAACGCGGAGCAAATATTGTGAAAAATAGAGAGTTTTTTTTGTTAAAATTCGTCCCTTTTCTTCTTTATTTTTCATGTTCTTAAACTTTCCTTGTTTGCTAGCTTGATTCTTACAAAAAAAAACCCAAAAAAGTCTTACTTTATTATTGCATGTTACACCAAAAGAAAAGCAAGAAGAAAGATAAAATAACCAGGTACTTCTCCTCAAAGTGAACTATTTTTTTTTTCTAATTTTGTTTGATTTTGAGTTTGGACCATGAAATTTAAGAGAAAATCTGAACTTTTATTTTGAGTTTACTGTTGACTTGGTGTAATGGAAAATAACGGGCCGTTATCGTCGAGATCGGCTGTTACTCGTTAAGTTGCAGCCGCTATCGGTCGTTATTGGTGTGATTCCAACGTCACACCACTTTTTTTAACAATATCGGTGTCGGAGGGCGGCGCTACCGCGAAATAGCGGCCGCAATAATGCTTTCGTTCCGTTATTTAGAACCCTGGGTGTATCGCTTAAAATGGTTTGAGAATTTGAGATTGAGGTTTTGATCTTTGAGAATCAGATTATGGTTAAGTGATTTAAATTATGTTTTTTTATTTTAAATTTTAATTGACATAAAACATTAAAAAATATTATGTCATAATAAAAAATAATTAAATATTTGACATCATGAAATTTTTATAATTTAAACTGTGAGTAATTAAAACAAAAACAATTCAAAAGTTCAGTTATTTAATTGAATTTTTTTAAACTTCAATGACCAAAATACAGGTGGAAAGATAATTGAGTGGTGAATAGTGAAATTTACTCTTTTTATGTATTTATTTTAATATAAACTATGTATTTATTACTTAAACTATTGTTTTGATCCGTTTAATACCTAAACTTTAAGTTTTTTCAAAATCATACTAAAGTTTAGTTTTTATTTTATTTTAGTACCACTATTCAAAATTTAACATTAAGTTTTGATTTTTTTTTGAAACTTTAAGTACTAAAGCATACAAAAACTGATATTTTAGTACTAAACGCGTTAACTTTTTAACGATATGTACTAAAATGAAACAAAAACTAAATGTTAGGTATAATTTTGAAAAATTAAAAATTGAAGTACTACAATAGATCAAAACTAATAGTTTAGGTACTAAATACATAGTAGTACCCTTTATTTTACTATTTTCTCTGAAAACTTTTGAGGTGAATTACACTAATAGTACCTCCACGGTTAGTAGTATTCTAAATAAGTCTTTTAATTTTAAAAAGTTATAAATACATCACCTAATTTATCGATTGATACAAAAAGATCGCTTTATCTTTAAAAATGAAACTAACATTAACCTTTTAATGATGATTAGATTGTTTATTTATTTACTCTAATAATTGGATCATTTTATTTATCAATCACTACAATCATATTATTCAATTATAACTAAAAAGTTAATATTCGATATACGCTTAACTCCGATGACCAACCTAACATATTTGAAATAATTTATTAATTGAGTGACATTTAGTGGAATTTCTCAAATATAAAAAAAGGAACCAAAAATTGAAACAATTGGGCTGTTGACCCCGGCAAGTGTGTATCCATATAACTCGGTTAGATCCAGCAAACCTCAATTCACCATTAAAGAAACAAAACTCCAGTTATCAGCCTGCAGCATCTCTGCCAACCTCATTGAATCGCCATGGATTCCGCCACTAGAAGAAGAATTCAAGGATCCGGCCTCTTCGAAGGCCTTTACAGAGTCATCATGCGTCGTAACTCTGTATACGTCACCTTCGTCATCGCCGGCGCTTTCCTCGGAGAACGAGTAAAGTCTTTCTCTTTCGCATCGAGTCTCATTGATTTATACATTTGATCCCTTTTTCGTTTAATCTTGTTGTTGATTTCTAGGAAAATGGTTAGTGTTTGTTAATTTCTGGGACAATGATTGCTATTGATTATTTGTTTTTTTTAATGTAAAGGATGAGTTTCTGAATAACATTTAAATGGTGATTATTTGGTTTTAATTATTGTTTATGGGTTTGTGTCTGATGAAAAAGAAGTGTTAAGATTTTTACTATAATTGATTCAACTTTTGCAGGCTGTAGATTATGGAGTTCATAGGCTCTGGGAATACAACAATGTGGGGGTAAGTTTTTTTTTTTTATCTTAATTAAGTTTTCTTGTGAATTCCATGGCATAATCAGTTTATCATGTTGGGATTGTTTGGAATATCATTAGATTAATTTGCACAATCACACCGATGGACTTGTATTTGATTGCATTAATGAGAGGATACAATATAGTCATAATAGCTTAGTCATAATAGGTTCAATTCGTTCGAGTTTGAGTCATTGTGTATGCAGAAAATTCTTACAGGGATACTCAGCCGCCAAAGCCAGGTTTGCGACGTGGGTCAGTCCGGATTAGTCAAGGCAAAGCCTAAATGTTGCAGTTCTTGTAGAAGGCTGTAACTCATGTTCAACAATTGCAGCACCTTATGGTGGTTGGTGTTACTTGTGTTCCTAATCGTATTGTTATTTGGTCTCAGTTGTGTGCATAGTTATGTCATATGTATTGCCACAAATGAGTTGTTTTAGCTTCCTTTATTCTGTTTTTCTAAACCATATGATATGATCTAGCCTTGTGGGAAGTTGTAATTTCTTATGTCAAGAATTCTGCTGTTCAATGACTCAGTTAGCTTATCAATTTCGTAGTTGCTCGACAGCTGTTTGTTTGCTGTTCCTTGTCTGGAATAATGAATTACCTCCACGGTTTATGTGGTTCATCTAATTACTTGTTTGACTACAGAAACGATACGATGATATTCCGGTGCTGGGACAGAGGCAATCGGAGGAATGAAATCAGCAACGCCCTTTCTGGATTTTTTGAATTTGTTATTGAGGATACTCCGTTTGTTTTGGTCGAATGGATTCGTTTCTTAACCATGAGTTGGTTGAACCATCATTCGGAATTTTCGATTGTTCGGATTTGTCGATGGCGGCATTGAAATGGCCCAACCCCACTTTGTCATCATAGGTGCATTTGGGGTCGAAGGATTAGGGTCTGTAAGTTTGTGACTTTGATTGCCGATTGCCAATGTTCATAATAACAGGATGACTGTGTTTCTTTCATCAATAATGCTGCTTTCATAACTTTCCTAAATTCATTATTGCTCGAGATAATCGTGTTCAAATTTCATTTCTTTTCAAAGCTTTTATTAAGCCAAAATTTTACAAACTGTGCACTTCAAAAACCTCTGGATATCTACAAAATCTTATAATGCACGTCAGCACAGAACGAAACTTACCGCGATCCCGGTCCAACCCACGCCTCAGCTATGGCCCACCACTAGCAATACCTTTTACAACACGATTTAGATTAACGGCTCAGATCTTCTACCAGACGCCAAGCGCTTCATTCCACCTAGACCAACCGGTGCGGTCTCCGTGATTCCAGGCTCCATTGATTTTGCATCGCGATAATTTGGCGGCAAACGAGACCTGATGTCGATGTTCCTCGGCGGCGAAGGCTGCACTGCAACTGTGTGTGATTCAGGTGCTCTGCCATTTGATCGGAAAATAGCACAAAATCTTGGAAAGAAACCGCTTCTTTTAGTCTTCCTTTCTCTTTAACTGCTTCCACGACTCCGTCCTGATTTTGGCGGTTCTTTTTTAGCGAGCGATTCCGGTCTCGCCTCGATCTCACTCTTCCCATACAAGAAACCTTAGGCGAGGAAGGTTCAACAACCGACGAAACTGTTTTAACAAAACCGGGCCGTTTAGGAAACAACCTATTGTTTCCAGGCTTCGTGTTCTTCCTGTTCTTCGTTTGAACAAAACAAGATTTTATCGGTTTCGGTAATCCGATGATAGAAGCTTTAGACGTCCTCATAGGAAAGCGTTGAGAATTGGATTTGGAGTCCGAGTTCAAATTAGGATTAAGATTGGTAGAGTTGGAAGCAGAGTTTCCTTTATGCGACTCTTTCCGTTGGTAAAAAGCGTTGCCATCGAACCAGTGGAACTCGGCGTCTTTGGATAACCTAAAAGATTCAGGCGGGATTTCTACGTCGACGGATTCTTCCGCCGTGTGGAGTTGCTCTTCGGTGGTTACTAAGGTCTCGCATACGATTTTGTTATCGCAAGAACCGCCGGCGCAGGCAGAAACAAAGGTTTCTAAATTGCCCTGTGACATTGTACGAACAAACAAAGGAAGAAAAAGGTTCAGAAACGTAAAAAAGGGGAGAGTTGGAGAGAGGAAGGTGGATTTGAGAATATTTATAGTATAAAAAGAAAATTGTTTTTTATTGTGGAAAACTGATAGAAAGAGAGAGGTTGAATTTTGCGCCGGGGGGGGGGGGCTGAGTTTCTACGTTGTTGACCAGTGCTTGCTTGCGTTCTCTCTATCTTTTAAATACTTAGAATCATTCTACGTAGTTATTAATGTTAGAATCTATAATTTTTAAAAACGATACTAATTTTTTAATTAATAAAATAAATTAATTAAAAAATATAAGTTAATTTAATCACGTAGAATAAAAATAAAATTAAGTATATTTTAAATAATAGAAATGGAAATATTTGGTTAATAAAGTTGAAGAAAATACAAATTGATTCATTTATTTGATTTAAATAAATGATGTGAATTCTATGGGCTCCGCCAAACATCTCAGTCACAGCCGTCCATAAGCTTCTAGATTATCAAACCTTCTCTTCTCTTTATATTTTAATGGATTTAGAGTTAAGCATTTAAAAAAAATATTGTCCGTTAATTAATTTATCTCAATTGTTAAAAAAATCGTTATTGTTTTTAAAAATCACGGTTTTGAGCACCATCAATTACAGCAGGATGATTGAGTGTTCATTGTCAAATGATTGATAGTATTTAAAACAGATATTACCTTATAATCACCTTAACTTACTAAAAAAACACGCCATTATCCCATTGATTGTATCCGGGATGGATTGAGGGTTGTTATAATATGGTTGCAGCTTCTAGAATTTTCTCATTTCTTTATATTTTAGATTTTTTTTAATTTTTATTTTCTATTAATTTTCTAATTTAACATCTTTGCAATCATATAACTCCGCACTCATAAAATTTTAATATAATTTCTTAATTTCCTACCGTAATAAAAATTTATACTGATTATATTCTCTGTATATTTAAATATTTCAAACAGAGAATGCAAGAAGTGGGTTCAGTGTTTTCAAATTTTAATATTAAATCGAATAGAATATCGGCTTTTGTAATTATACAAGACAACACAAAATGGTGGTGGAATGTTGTGATACAAATTAATAGAAAACCGAACAAACTGCTCCATGTTAAACCCAGTTTTCTAGAAGATGAAATATTGAAGGGAATGTCTCAGGAAAGGCGGGTTAATATACGGCTAATATACAGCATTACCGGATACATTAAAATGTATTTAATAAATTCGGTTTAGCGGTACCTATTATGTTGACAACTAATAATGTTTTAGGTAGAAAATATGAAAACTATTAAAAATTTGGTAACCGGTAACTTTGGTTTCGGTAAGTATCTATCCTTTTTATAAAAGTGTCCATACTTTTAACATATCAAGTAAATTTTACCGGTTTTGTCATAATGAATCTGGTTTTGTCATATTTTTACCTGTTATATTGTAAATTATCTATCCTTTTTATAAAAGTGTCCATACTTATTTCACTGTGAAAATATATTTATTATTATCTTTAGTTAATATTGTTAAATTTAAAATCTAAATAATATTTTATAAAATATCAAAACAATCAAATATTTTTGTGTAAAATGAAATTATTAAATTAATATTGTAGGTGGAAAACATGAAACACTATTAAAAAATTGAAACATAAATTACATAACTTTCAAAAAAGTATATCATTTTTATAAAAGTGTCCATACTTATTTCACTGTTGAAAACATATTATTATATTTGGTTAATATTGTTAAATTTAAATTCTAAATAATATTTTATAAAATATCAAAACAATCAAATAAAATTTTGTGTAAATTAAATTATTAAATTAATATTGTAGGTGGAAAACATAAAACACTATTTAAATTGAAACATAAATTACATAACTTAAAAGCAGTTTAAATCCTAAAAAGTGTCGATACTTTTAAGAAATATATCGATCCAAAACGATATACCAGGTAAAAATATGATAAACCGGTAACAAAATGATAAAACCGGTAAAATTAAAAGTGTCGATACGTTATATAAGGATCGACACTTGTGAATTTAAAAGAGAAGCAGTTATAGCGCCTATAATGTGTCGATACTTTAAAAAAAAATATCGATCCACAACGATATAACAGGTAAAAAAATATGATAAAACCGGTATCAAAATGATAAAAACGGTAAAATGATACCGGATATATTGAAGTGTCGATACTTTCGTAAGTGTAATAAATTATCGACACTTTCAAAGAAATAGGTAATTATCCTTTCGAAAGTATCGACACCTGACATAAAAGTATCGACACTTTTGTATTTGTATCGATTAAATAAATAACATATCCGATGAAAATATAAGCTAATATCCTCTGAAATAGATAGAACGACGAGTTTTTGAAATCGAAGAGTAATTGTTGCTGCATTTCAGAAGGCGTTTCTAAGCGAAGTTTGTTTGTTTGTTGCAGTCGAATCGAAAAGTATGTTGTCGAAACCCTAATTTTTTATTATTACAGTAATCGCGATAGGGTTTTTATGTGTTGTTGGGGTTTTGGAGTAAGGAAGCATTTGGGACCGATTGCAGGTAGAAATAGATATTCAAGGAAACGATAAATGTCGATACTTTATTAAATATTATAGGAAAAATATAGGTTGTATAAATGTGCCGACACATTTTGGTGTGGCCATTCAAATTCTTTTGAAGAAAAACCGTTTTACCACAAGAGTAGTTATCTATATTTGTATATTGAAAAGTGTATGTAACAAAATAATTTGATTTGCGTAACTGATATATGAAGGAAAAAAATGGAGTCAATGGGTTGGAAAATTGTTGGTGGAGCAGATGACTTTGAAATTGAGGCCGAGACTCGAAAGCAACAAAGGGTGGATATATGTACTTCTAGTAAGTATCAATGTCTTTTTGTTATTATTGTTGAAATGGTATTGGATTAAAGTATCGATAAACTTTAAATTGATTACAAATTTTAAATGTTAACAGTATGGCCGAATGCAAAAGGATGAAGGGAGATGGCACACAGAGCGGTTCGGTATGTAAAATGAAATTGACATTGAGTAGTATTAGTATTTAGTGTTAATGTATTGATTAAGAAACGTTATTTTAATATTAGGTGAAAAAAGATGTAAGGTCCAAATGGAATTCAATGAGTGATGCTGAAAAGGAACCTTACATCACACAGTCAAGGAATGATAGTAAAGAATACAAAGAACGGAGGAAAGCACCATGAAAATAAGGTATTCATTAAACTTGTAAATACGTTGATACAAAATATATAAGAACTATAACATTATATATGTTAAAAATGTAGGAAGTTTCGACAAGATGCAGCATTAAAATGGTGAATTTATTAATTAAACACCTTAAGGAGAAGGGTCAGTTGAATGTGCTGGGAGAAATAGGTTTGGATCGTTGATCGGAGTAAGGGATCGACCTATTCGGAGGGAATTGTGTCGATCCTTGATGGCACAATTGACGTCAGTCAATGTATGGCTAAGTATGGTGATTATTCATTCCCCTGGGGGATCGACTGGCAGCCGTATTGGGGTACAAAACAAAGGCAAAGTGTTATAGAAGTCTGTAGGAGTAAGAACTGGAAAGCACTTGCCTCCAAATATGGTTTGAATCATAAGGTGACATATACTGAAGTTGAAGAGGATATCAAAAGTGGATCTTACTTGGGGGATGAGCTGAAGGCCCGAGTTCTATTGTACATTGTCGGTATATTTCTTTGTCCAACGGGTGATGTCACGAACAAGGAATATATGAAGCTCATTTGCGATGAAGGCTTGAAGGGTGAATTCAATTGGGCTGAATATATCCATTCGAGATTGATTGAATCAATTATCACCTTTAAAAGGGCAGCCAGAGATACCTCAATGGTGCATAGCAATCTTAGAGGTAAATGAGTTGAATCACTTTTTTTGTGTTTTTATATAAAAATTCTATTTTATTATAAATGCAGGTTGCCTGTTCGATTTTGGTCGGGCTGTGAGGCAGTGCCGGCTTATGAAAGAACCGGAGTGGCACGCATCCGTGCATGGGGGAAGGAAGAGGTGGTTAGAGTGATGGTGAAGTTGAAGTTGGATAGAGGGAAGAAGCAAGAAATGGTAATAAATGTAATTAAATAATATTAAGAATATAATCAATGTCTTAATATTGTAATTTAATTTTTGAAGGTTATGGGCAAGGATGTAGAGGAGGGGAGGCAGAGGAAGAAGAAGGAGGGATGGTTGTAGAGGAGGCAGTGGAGGCGGTTTTATGAGAGAATAAGTCTAAATAATGTGTCGACACTAATATAGTTTTGTCGATATTTTTTTCCCAGAATGATTAAAAACAAGGTGCACCCATAAAGTGTCGATCCATATATAAAAAAGTGTCGATCCCAAATCATCGAACCAAAAGTATAATGTAATATGTAATTTTTTAATCTAACCGGTACAATTATACCGGTTTTATGAGAGAATAAGTCTAAATAATGTGTCGACACAATATAGTTTGTGTCGATATTTTTTTCCAGAATGAATTTTTACAAGGTGCATCAATAAAGTGTCGATTCCATATATAAAAGTGTCGATCCCAAAATCGAACCCAAAAGTATAATGAATATGTAATTTTCAATCTAACCGGTACAATTATACCGGTTTTATGAGAGATAAGTCTAAAAATGTCGACACTAAATATAGTTTGTGTCGATATTTTTTTCCCAGAATGAATTAAAAACAAGGTGCCCATAAAGTGTCGATCCAATATAAAAAAGTGTCGATCCAAAATCATCGAACCCAAAGTATAATGTAATATGTAATTTTTAATCTAACCGGTACAAATACGGTTTTATGAGAGAATAAGTCTAAATAATGTCGACACTAATATAGTTTGTGTCGATATTTTTTTCCCAGAATGAATTAAAAACAAGGTGCACCCATAAAGTGTCGATCCATATATAAAAAAGTGTCGATCCCAAAATCATCGAACCCAAAAGTATAATGTAATATGTAA